CCCGATTATGGCTACACGATGGTTACGCCACCTGCGTCAACATCCGGCAGAGGCCGCTCACCACGCGTGCATAAGCGCACGATCATCGAGCTACACTTAGAAGTGCTCCACGAATGTGAAGCAGCCGAATGGCAAAACGTCAAAGACGACTATTTGCAGATACTTGTGCAGGAGTTTATGGGGGGCCACAAGGGACATAGTAGTTCCTTGGATGCTCGTAGCACAAACCAGGCTTTATCACGGAACAATGTTCCATCCACTGAGTCCGACGGCATAGATCGATGTCCACCTAACGAAGATAACCCCGATGCATGCAGTTGTATGGAAACTACACAGTTAGAAACGGACCGTGCTCCACCTAAGGAAGATAACCCCGATCCATGGAATTGTATGGAAAACATAAAGTTAGATGCAGAACACAGTCGTGCTCATTGCAACCCGCGCACGCGACTTCGGACTGCACCCACTGGACCCCTTGGATTGACCGCCACAAACATATTCTGCGGGAGTGCACGACACAGCCGTGGTTTTTGCAATTAAACGCGGATTGGAAACAATACCTGCGTGAGCACATTGCGGCAGACGAAGACAACGGAGTATCCGGGCAGCGTACACTCGGTGCGCGTGGCAATATCCCATCCGTAGAGATGAAGAAAGATGCCTGGACAAAGTGGGTCGCACAGCCACATGCGCTTATGCATATATATGGTGAGGAGCAGTGGTTTCAACATTTGTTGAATAATGTACAGGAGGCGACAGCAACGCACAAAGGCGAAGTACCTATAGCGGACAAAGGCATAGCAGTGGAACAAGTCATGGCAACAGAAGATAGCGTCCGAGATTTACCACGGTCGCAACCACTGCATCCGCAACCTTACATGAAAAAACCGTTAACTGCCAAATTGTGGATGCTACTCCTCGCGTCGGTGATCCACGGCTGCGAAATCGAGAATATTATGCAGGATAGGGAGTTATATTTGGATGAACTATTGGACACGCTCTGAAATTAGGATGACGGCGCTCATGCATGGGACATAACGCATGCTAACATTAGACCACTTTTATTTCATTATGTGATATACATAATATATTTCTTGTTTGTACTATTGCATCCCTTCCTTTTTTTTGCTGCTCTGTTCTGCTTACTTCTGTTTCTTTGTGCTTACTTTTGCCTTGTTTTGTTCTTTTTCTGTGTAGTCCACTTCTTTTAACATGACTATCGGGATACGGTGGTACCGGTTACATGCATATAACATGTAGATTTAAATGAATAATATGAACGGGTAGTATTCTCCTTTATGGGAAATTAATTATTAACACATGAGCAAGTGCATTCTAAGGGTATAGTGTACAACTAATATAGCATGCGAATAATCATTCGAGTATACGGAGCGCTTGTCTGTCCGAGCAAACGCGGCCGCGTAAACCCATTGTCCGAGGACGCAGCCGCGTGTAAGCAGGAGGACGATTGTCTCTCCGAGCACACGCGTCGACCAACGCGGCCGGGTAAACGGAGATTGTCCGAGTGTAAGAAGCAGGAGGATTGTATCTCCGAGCAAACGTGGCCCATTGTAACAACGATTCGACGAAGGATTGTCCGAGTGTAAGAAGGAGCAGAGATTGTCTCTCCGAGCAAGCGCGTCGATCAAAGCGGCCGCGTAAAGGCAATTGTGCGCGTAATGCGACCGAGTGCAAGACGGATTCGACGAAGTGGCCGAGTGTAAGCAGCAGGAGAGATTGTCTCTCCGAGCAAACGCGTCGACCAAAGCGGCATGGTAAGCAGCATTCGACGACGTCGCCGCGTGAGGGATCCACAGACAGGGAGCAGAGAGCGCGCAGTGGAGCGTGGCGCAGGAACACACAAATTTTATGGGATCAACACGGGCGGCAACGACGGCCGCCACGACGGAAGAACACATTGATGTTGTTGTTAAACTGCGGTTTTTAGCTGTACGCGCACAGAGAGACAGTGTGTGACGGCGTTTAGTGACGAAGGCAGGTGGGGAGGTGGTGGTATTCATGACGTGTTGTGTGTACGTAGTAGTACTAGTGTACTGTTTTTTTTCCTTCATTTTCTCTTTTTTTTTTGTTTCCTTTTTATTGTTTTTCCATTCCATTTTTAGAAGTGAGAATAAGTGTATTTTCGAAGGATCGCAGCATGTTCGAACGAACCACGTTGTTTGTATAAGAAGATAGTGAAGGATAAATATTCCGTTGCTCCTGTAAAAGCACCAGGGGGAACAAATTAGATTCATTGCAATAATTGTCGCACACAATTCTTATGGTTGGTTAGTGCAGTGGGAGATGTATAATGAGTACGGTTCATATAGTAAATGGGAGTACACACTAATATAGGACATACAACCTATGAACACTAAAAATTTTTAATGTAAAGCTAAGGGCAAGAGTATATGTGTATCCTGTGAACATGACTTATAAGTCACATAATGAATTCATATTATGCATAGTGGATTGCAGGTACATGTACTAATATAATGGCGCAACGTCTGAAGAATGCACTGGTCAAATGGGCACAAGACAGGAGAATATGGAAAATGGAACAGTTCGATGTAGGTTTTAAACTTTTAGGGACGAGATTAGTAGAGGGAGAATAGGGAAATAATGAGGAGTTCGAACAGGTACATGTAGATTGAATGGAAGGCTACATTAGAAGAGGAAAGTAAGGCACTTGAGACAAATGTCACATATTAATCGCTTCTTTCCCTTTATATATATTGTAGACGAAATTATGGCAAGATATGGAGACAGTGTTGAATGAATTTGTGGATTACATGCAAAGGGAGGGGCCCAACTTACATATGTATGCTGTGAGTTGTGGGGATGCAGGTTGGAAGCGCAGAGGAGAAGCGCACAAGGGACGAGTGTACACCGATCATTCGGTTGGCGACGTAATGAAATGCACCCTGATGCTTGGAGCATTATTTTTTGTCACTGGGTGGGGAAATGAAATGAACGCTGATACGGGCGCATCGGCAAATGATACGGCCATGAAGGCTATTATGAGGTGCATGGTAGCAGATGTTTTTGCGAATATATTGGCTGAAATAAAGTGTAGATATGAGTGGACTGGAATAGACAGGGCATGGGACGTCATGGAAAGCATGGGAGGAAAGGGTGGAGTCGAGAATCCAATTTCAAGTGGCACCTGTACGCTGGATGCGTATAAGGATACACAGGTCGGCACAGCGGATTTGACGGGTGCGGTAAGACGGTGGTTACAGAAGAATCCTGACATACGAGGTCGTATGGACGCAATAGAGAAGAACCCGAAATGCAATATATTGTGGTCAAAGTATAAGACACGGATGGAACAGAGCGAACACGATGCATTACCAACAACAACAGGGAATGTACATCAAGAGGACGGTGTCATCGGTAGTGGTGGCATTGCGAATGCAATAGTGACAGTGGTGAGGGACGTATTCGAAGAGATGAAGGGCGAAATAACAGAAACATCCACGTCACCGCCAGACATACCAGGAGCAGGTAAGGGCAGCAAGCATACGATTCCTAAGAATACGAACATTACAAATACCAACATGCGGCACGGCCAGCTACGGCCCAACACAGCCGAACATGGATGCCGCCACAACAACACGCACACGCGGCGACCACGACGGCAACTGTAGCGGTGACAAGGCACATGACGAGGCACCGGAGACGGACGGAACGGGTCGGCGGACGACATGACGGCAACAACAAATACAACTTGTACTGCTACCATCCACCACGACTCAGTCAACCGAGTTCACCTCACCGTACGCGTGCTGCCGCCTGACCCAGTGCATCGAGTCCAGTCCACCGAGTCCTACCTCGACCCACTGCGTCGACCCATGCAGCCGACCTACCATGCCGCTACCTGATCGAACCGTCCCGGCCCCCTTCTTTCTGTACCACTTGTGTCCCTTTTTTTTGTATCATCTTTCTTCCGTTGTCCTCATTGCAGGAGGTGCGAAGCCGGTGGCGACACCACCAGCGACGACGACACCGGTAGCGGCAGGAGAAGGAACATCAGGAACAGGAGTAGCTCCAGGGCGAGATCCAGTAGGAAGGGCAGATCCCACAGCTGGAGGACAGGATGGGGTAGCGACAGTATCGGGGCAGCAACCACAACCCCCGGCACCACCAACTGAAGCAAAGCCTGCAGAAACGGTTGCAGGAACGGCAGATGCAGCACCACCCGGACCTCACGAACGAGCAGAATTAGGTACAGGAGGAAGAGAGCAGAGTCCACCACAGGAGGAAGAGAATGTTACGCCCAAGGATGACAAAGGTGAGGAGAAGTGTCCTTATGACAAGAACAACGCAGTATCTGTTCTTTCAGATCCTAGGGGAGGGTCCCGTGCTATTGTATCAGCTGGTACTCATTTTTATCCAGGACAGCCTGACTGTACAACATGGACGTTGCTTAAGGAACAGGAGAAAGCGACATCTTCCACAGGTACCTGCCACAGTCCCATGAGGAGTACCGGGAACAGCTCCTCCGGAGGTGTTGACACCGGGCTGGATGCCTTATGATAGCACCCGCGCTGGGTTATCTAAGGGAAAAGCAAGAACAGCAGAAAAAAAACAACAAAAAAAAAAAAGGACAACACTATCCTCCTTTTCATTTAGTCCAAAAGAGAAATAAAAAAAAAAAACACAAACCACAATTTCCGGAGAGAGGGAGAGACAGAGAAACCAACGTCGAATGAGAATGAAAGCGGCAGACCGAGACAGCCGCGGGATGTAGACGTCGACAGACGTCGACACACACACTGTGTGTTGTGTGTTGTTTGTGTTGTGTGGGAGACAGAGAGAATCTTTTCCCGGGGTGGCACCTGCCCCCCTGCCCCGTGCTTCCCTGCCCCCGTCTCATGCCCCGATGCCTGCCGTCCCCCGTGGCACCACCGTGTCGACCGCGTAGTCAACCATCCAGCGACGGTGATGTCGTGAAACGACGGACAACCGCCGTCAACCGTGTGGTCGAACAATGCAGCGACCGACAGCGGCCAAGCGGCAACCGTGGCCCATCTCGCATTGCATAAAGTTCAGTTTTATCGCATTCTTCTTCTCCCCCCCATACTTGAACTCATAGATAAGGATGCTACAGGAGGTACAACGACATCGGGATCCTCAGCCACAACGCATCCAGCAGCCGCAGCACCAGCCGCACCAGCTGATGGTACTATCCAAGGTACTGTTGCAGAAGTTACCCCTAAGAACAAAGGGGATGATCCTCGTAGTGCCCCGAGCCCCGGTGACCACGTGGTAGATGGCGGCAATGATGACCCACCTCCTCTCAATCCGCCCAAACCAAAACCGAATCCGAACCCAGATCAATCGGGTAGTACCGGCACCAGCGGCGACGCCCCGATACCAGGTAGTGCACCTTCTGCTGGTACTGAGGAGGGTGCAGGAGGACAAACCGGTGCTGGACCTGGGGGTGGAGGTGGTTCCTCATCCTCCGGTACAGAACAAGGAACAGTAGGCTCGACCACCACAACAGACACGCAGACACCATCAACAACAGTAACACCAACATCACCACAATCACCACTGGCACCATCGACCCCCAAGGGGGGCGATGGTGCTGTATCTCACTTTGTTCCCCCTCCGTCGAAACCCTTCGACACCAAGGATCTCATCCCTTATACCCCCGCGATCATTCCCGCGGTGGTTGGTATTGGCATCGTTGCGTTCTTCCTATGGAAGGTACGTATATACGGCAATGCGGGCATGCCGCACGTGCCGGATGTTTATACCTCAGAACCTCCCAACCGGCTCCAATATATGTTCGTTTTAACCCATATACTCCTACACCCTCGTTCATTCCTTTTATGCTACCGTGCCCACCCTCCTCTGTACACCCTTTTTCTGTTTAGTATTTTGCGCACCTCGCCAAACGACGACGAACGTATCGAACCGTTCGTGACGTGCCGTCACCGCCACTCGACGAAGACATTCTAGAGCATCTACAACGCGCCGAACTGCCGCCACCCGATTATGGCTACACGATGGTTACGCCACCTGCGTCAACATCCGGCAGAGGCGGCTCACCACGCGTGCATAAGCGCACGATCATCGAGCTACATCTAGAAGTGCTCAACGAATGTGAAGCAGCAGCATGGGAAAACGTCAAAGACGACTATTGGAAGATTGTCGTGCAGGCGTTTGCAAACGAGTTGATGCGGGACGCAAAGGGGTATAGTAGTTCCTTGGATGCTCCTATCACAAACCAGGATTTATCAGGGAACAATGTTTCTTCCACTGACTCGGCAGAAACAGATCCATGTCCACCACATGACCCCGATCCATGCAGTTGTATGGAAACTGCACCGTTAGACACGGACCCGTCTCCACCTAACGACGATGACCCCGATCCATGGAGTTGTATGGAAACCATACAGTTAGCAACGGACCGTTCTCCACCTACTGCTGATGACCCATGGAGTTGTATGGAAACCATGCAGTTCGAAACGGACCCTTGTCCACCGAATGCAGATGACCCAGATCCCTGCAGTTGTATGGAACATATCGACTTAGATGCACAACACAATGCTCATTCCGACCACGGTGACGCGACGTCGGAGTGCACACAATGGATTAACTGGATTGACCGGCACAAGCACCTATTGCAGGCGTGCACGACACAGCCGTGGTTTTTGCAATTAACAGCGGATTGGAAACAATACCTGCGTACACACATGGCGGCAACCGACGACAACGGGAACCGTGAATTCGGTCAGCATGGTAATGGGTCATCCACGCAGATGAAGAAAGATGCCTGGAAAAAGTGGGTCGCAAAGCAACATCGGCAAATGAGTATGTATGGCCCGGAGGAGTGGTTTCAACATTTGTTGAATACTGTACAGGAGGAGACAGCATCGCACAAACGCGAAGTACCTGCAGTTGACACAGACTTAGAAGTGGACAAAGTAATGGGAACAGAAGATATGCTAAGAGTGAGAGCTTTACCATGCACGCAACTGCATCCGCAACGTTACATGAAACAACGGTTAACCGCTAAAATATGGATACTGATCCTTGCATTAATCATAGAACAGTGCGAGCTGGAATGTACTATACAGGATAGGGCGTTATATGTGGATACTTTATTAGAACACCTTTAATATTAGGTTGAAACAATGCGCACTTAAATAAATGGAAATGACACATGAGCAGAACAGTTTATTTCTTCCCATTAAGCGATATACGTATATTGTTACTACACTGAAGTTACTTCCTACTTCTTTCTTTTTTTTGTTTTTTTTTTTTTCAAGGGGTTTTTCAGTCTAAGCATGTTGCTTTGCATTTCCTCTTCTTTTGTCTTTTTTGTTCTTCCCTTGCTTCTTCTGACGGGGGTGGGGAGTGATACGTGCAAATTATGTGACACTAACATATAACTTTTTCCCCTTTACATACGTATAAAAATACTCCATACACAAGCCATTCATAAGTTAGAATTAAACTTTTTTTTTTTTTTTTGCGATAATGTTACATGCACAACAAATTTTTTACATCTCCATTTATAAAAGAAGGATTTTAGCGCATTCTCGTGGCAAACAAATGACTAAGGCACCTAGTGTTGTATCATCAGCGCATTATGTGCGGAGTGTATACAAAGGCATAAAAACCGCGAATTGCGCATATACTCATATATATATGTAACGGTTCAGTTACAAAAAAAAACATTTTCCATCTAAAACCCTACAACTCAACCCCCCACACATTTATTGAAAATTTACAATGACCTCTCCTTCTTCTAAAGCTCAAATTAATGTATCTGCTGTGCATTTTTTTGTTTTTTTTGTTTTCTTGTTGGCATAATTTCCTTTTAAGTTGTAAAATAATGTATTTTGACGTAATCTGACTTTGCTTTTTATGTTTTTTTTTGCATTCTGCACAATAGAAATAATTATGTATATGTAATTTTATGGACATGTAAATTACAACGGGATCCTATATACGTCAATCCAGAAAAAACAACAAAAAAAAGAAGAAGCACAACACTTCTCATACTGCGCTACATGCTGACGTGAAAGCAAAAATTTCGTGTTCATTCATTTCTCTAATTTCTTTTTTTTCTTTTTTTAGCATAATTTCCTCCTAGCCGTAGCGTAATTAAAAAAAGAAAAGAAAAAAGCACACTAGCCCTGCACATTACTGTTTTAAATAAATATCCACAGCATGGCACACCTAAACAAAACAACATCGTGCAGCGGACTCCTGCAACGAGGGTCGCCGTCCCGAACTCACACAGCACATTCCGCAGGTAATGAAGAAGGTGAAACGCATTACAAAAGGGCGCATACGTCGCTTTTCTCCAAAACAGCTGCTATGCTTTTTGTTGTTTGTGCGTATATCTTTTTAAAGGTGAGTCCATCAAAAAAAGAGAAAAATGTGCGGTTGTACAGACGTATGTACGAACTCGAATGTTTGTACATTTGCCTATATATATATGCCACATGTATCGTATATATACTACTGCATGTATATTTGCTGCTTCCCCTTTGTTCCTTGCCCTATGGCCATTATAGTATTAATTCAACGCATCACCACTTCCACCTTCGCTTCCCCTTTCTACAGCATACGGATGACGTCGAAACACAAGAAGAACATGTCGCCAAAGTGCAAATACATAACAGAGTTGCCCGCAGTTTAGCAAAAATTAAAGCAATTGCATCAGAAGAGGAGCTGGAATTAGATCCGATGGCATTCGAACACTATGAAGGTGCCTACGACGATGTCGACGAACCTTATGCAGAATCCTATGCATTTTCCCCGAAACGAATATGTTCTGACGCACAATGGGAGGAAGAGGAAGATGGAACTATTCTAAAAGAACGGAAAGTGGTCGAGTACGAGGTACCACAACAAGTGCATTATGAAAGAAAGTGGAAAATACAACATGATGCAAGGGAAGAAGAAGTCGATAGCAACGAGACATTATCTGCCGATGTAGCAGTCGCCGAGGCAGTTGCAACGTCTAGCACATCCCTTTCGAAGGTTGATGCACAAGGGTCATTGCCGCCATCCGTACAAAATAAAGGACAAGGTGCAAAAACGCAACAGGCGCCGAAAGGATCTTCGGGTACAGGTAAAACGGATGTGCGAAAACACGAAAAGAAAATAAAATGTCCGGGAGTTTGTAATGAAGGTTCTCTTAAAAACGCCTCATTGGGGACATAGAATATTCATCGAATCCTATTCCACACGCCTAATTTACAGGAACGACCGCAAGCACCGGAATCCGCGCAAGCACAATGAACGTGAGGCAGGCTCAAGCAATTAAAATGAAAACTGGAAGAGACTTTAGTAGACGAAAATTGGCTACATATATTATATATAGGTACAGCAAGTTCTTCGTTGCTGCTATTTTGGTTTACTGTGCAATAATGGTTGGTGCTAGCTGTGCCGTTGCGTTTGCACTTCCAGCTCTAGGGGTTGGAAGTGCGTGTTTAACTGCGGCTGCAGCTACCAGCGGATCGTGCTGCACAGCTGGGATTGCCATAGCCTCCACTGCAGGTGGAATGGGTATACTCAGTATGTTCTCACTTGGGATATTCCGGAGCTGCTACCGCCAGCGAAGGCAAAAGTGCCGAAGAAGAATATTTTGACAGACAAAATTTCATCAAAGGAGGATCAGAAGCCTCAACTACCCGAAAAAGCGGAAACACCTAAGAAACAGGAAAAACCCGAGAGACCGGAAGCACCTAAAAAGACAGGAGAGTCCGAGAAGCAGGACACACGTACACAGGCAGAAGAATGCGAGAAATCGAATACACCTAAGAACCCCGAAGCACCTGAGAAGAAGGAAGCAGCCGAGAAGCCGGAAGCGTCTAAGAAGGCAGGAGAGTCCGAAAAACCGTAGGCAGCTAATAAAACGACGGTCTCCGCCGAATCGGAAATACCGTCATTATTCTACTTTTGGTAAACAACTTCAATGTTATGGTATGATTCTACGCATGTATGAGACCGACATTTTTCTGTATGATATTCTGTACTATTTGTATGATAAAGTGCATTCACGGTTTTGTAGCATTGACATTGCAGTTGCGCTTTGTACATTATAATTTTTGTGCGTACACTTTTCCGAATATACATAGTTGTTCGTGTGTATGTTGTATTGTTTGTTGATATAATGAGTTGTTCATGGGTGTTAAAAGAAAGGACGGAAACAAGCTTTAGAGAGAAAAAGAGAGTATGTCCTACTTCACTTTTATATGTATATAATGCATACGTGTATTTTGTGTCCCATAATTAATATATAACGGTTCCCATTAGTGCAATATGTATAGTAAGTACTTTCATAATGTATAAAATGTGTTTGCATTTTTCTTCTAACTCAAGCAATTTGTGATGAACGTCAGAAATGTCTTCGAAGTTATAATTATTTGCTCTGTAACACTATCGTTCGTTACCACATCACGTACTATGACAGCGTTTGTCACGGAAACAACGTATGCACCCCTTCTTGTTGTTCCTCACTTCTCTAAAGCTTCTCAAATGATCTGTAAACAAACTATGCACATATAATCCTTTTATATCCATAAATTCCGTACATTCTACACTCCAGACTCGTCTACACGGCCCGTCAGCACCTGACACCCCTCGGCTCAAGCTAACGGTACGCTCGTCTACACTCCGTCGCCGCTGCTCGCTCGGCTCAACGAGGGGGTGCTGTTCCGCCGCGTGCGTGTTGTTGTTGTTGTTGTTGGCGTCATCCATATGCGTACGGGTCGTATTCGTATGCGGCCGAGTATTCGTGCTTTCTCTCATCCCTCCTTACCTGACGTGTCCTTTGATGGTGTGGTCGCCGCCTTGGTGGCGGCGGCTGCTTTTTCACCGGTAGTCTGCTCGATCACTGCGTGTAAGTGGTCTTGCACTGCCTCGATTGCCTTTTCTATTTTTCGCTCGATGTCTTCAGCGTTCTTTTCGTCTGCGTCGTCCACAGAAGGGTACTGCGGTGCTGGCGCACGGGACGCCCTCAATTTCCCCTCCTCCTTCTTCATTTGTATCTGCAGTGTGTCCAAAATCTTCCTAAAATGCGTCTTCATTTGACTCTTCAGTTCTTCGTCTTTCTTATTTTCAGCCTCTGGGTCCTGTATTTCTCCTTCCTTTTGCAGTTGTTCCCTAGTCTTTACCTGCCTTCCCGTACACCCACCGCTTATTTCTTCCTGTGCAAGTTTCTCCTTCATCTGTTTGTTCTGTTTTAACCATGTCTTCATCTGATTCCTCATGGGCCAAGTGTTCAATTGTATAGTCTTGTACTTCCCCCTCGTACAATCATTTTGGCCCCCATGGGCCGTCAGCCCTCCCGATATGTGGTCCACGACGTACCATGCATAATATGTACCCCACCAACCTTCGCATGCATTTGCCCGCAGTATGTCGTTATATACGTCCACTATTGTACACCGTATTAATCCCTTAATTTCTTTATTGTGCACGGAGTCCCCCGTTATGTCTTCCTGTACAGCTTTACTCCACGCATTTGCAAAATATATCGCTTGCGTCATGAGTCTGCATATAACTCTTTCTGTGCTCCTGCTCATTTCCCTTGGTAGTTGGTCTTTCGTCCCATGCTCTTGTGGATGCTGCCAGTATGCATTCTCACAGTTAATAGCATTGTGGTACTGACTGTCATTGTTCATATGCGTAATAAAAATCTGCAGTTGGTGTTGCATATCCTGCCATAAACTTTTCTGCAATTGGAGTAATGCGGAAGCGAATACATGTATTCCATGTTTCTATTGTCACAGGACGATGCTCACTTTTCCCTGTCCTATATTACATTCTAGTTCTGGAATCCTATCCTCACATCGGGCATATGATTTCCCGTTCACGAAATGTGAACATATGTATGCTGCAAACTGAGTACCCGGCCTATCGACCACCTATATATATGTGTAGGCGTCTGCTCACTCCATGTTTCCCTCAAAATAAATTACCATATATCCTTCTGGATTCCCCACTAGACCCCTGTTTATTATATATTCTGCTAATAAATCTCCCAACCTCTCATACGACATATTGTCCTTATCATGAATTAATAGTGTGCAACGGATGAAAGCATTATCGCTCAGATAACGGCTTGAATATAATATGGGCACAATGTTCTCTTAGTTATTATTCAGATTTGTAGCGCATGGAACATGTCTTCCAGTATAGGGTGCCTTCGGAAACATGTCCCATGAACAAACTATCCCCTATCTGAATGTAATCACACATCCCATAAATCGTGGGATGAGAAGAAGGAAAAAAAGAAGAACAAAAAAGGGAAAAAAGAAAAAAAAAAAAAAAGAACAAACACTACACAACGCGTCATGAATACCCGCCCCCCACTGCCTGCTCCACTAAACGCCTTCACACACACTGTCTCTCTGTGCGTGCACCTAAAACCGCATTAACAACACAGTAACAACAACCTCAATGCTTCTGCCGTCCGTCGCCGCGTCCTCGTAAGGAGGACAGATTGTCTCTCCGAGCAAACGCGGCCAAGTGCAAAACCGATTGGACGAAGGATTGTCCGAGTGTACGAAGGAGGAGAGATTGTCTCTGCCACCGACTGTCGCCGGGTACACCGATTGTCCGAGGAAGTAGCCGAGTGTAACAAGGATTCGACGACGTGCCCGAGTAAGCATTGTGCCGAGTGTAAGAAAGGAGGAGAGATTGTCTCTCCGAGCAAACGTGGCCGGCTAAAGGACATTGTCCGAGTGAAGCGGTTCGACGAAGTAGCCGAGTGTAAGGAGGAGGAGGATGGTCTCTCCGAGCAACGGCGTTCGACGACGTAGCCGAGTGCAAGACCGATTCGACGACGGATTGTCCGAGTGTACGAAGGAGCAGATTGTCTCTCCGAGCAAACGCGACTGAGTGCAAGAACGATTCGACGAAGTAGCCGCGTGAACGATTCGACGCAATAGCTGAGTGTAAGAAGGAGGACAGATTGTCTCTCCGAGCAAACGCGTAGAGCAAACGGGTCGAGCAAACGTGGCCGGGTAAAGCAGATTGTCCGAGTAGGGGATTCGAGTGGACGGGTTCGAGTGACGGATCCAGAGAGAGGGAGCAGAGTGAGCGCGTCGGGGAGCGAAGGAATACACATATTATGTGCGGTAGCAAGAAAAAGTGAAGGACGGCAACAACGACGGCAGGACGCAGAAGGACGAATTGATGTGGTTGTTATACTGCGGGTTTTAGGTGTACGCACACACAGAGACAGCGTGTGTGACAGGCGTTTGGTGGAGACCGGTGTAGAAACGCGGGAGGGCGTATTATTCATGACGTGGTGTAGTGTTTTTCCTGATTTTTCTTGTCTTCTTTTCTTTTTTTGTCTTTTGTTATTTGTTTTTCCTTAGGGTCCTCTTATTGCCTGTTTTGTGTTCCTTTTACTTTTCCTTTCTCTCTAGTTCTTAATTTATATACATATGGTTTGACGAATAATAGGATTTATACGTCTCAAGTACAGTACAAGTGACAAAGTGCTGTTTATGCGCGCAATTGCCGTGCGACAGTCCTTTCCATGCGTACTGTTCTCTAAATACGGTAGATGACACATATTCGTGACAGAAGTTCGGCACGTATTGCAACAGCGATAGAGCTTTAGTTTAACCTTTGTTGTTTCAGTGACGGACGACTCATCTTTTATTGCGTGCTGCCCATAATACAAGTAGAATATATTCTTGTGCGCAGTACTGCATACAATAGTATTGCCGCAGCGCAATATACGGACATGTTGATTATAGGATACAGTATTAGATAAATAACACAAAAGGGGAACATCGAACTGTCTGGACTCTTCCATGACGTAGAATAACGCGCAGCAGGATAATTATTTATGGACCGTGAGGATTCGATTCTACTGCATTGAATTATAACGTAGTAATAGTCTAAGGACCAATAGCTGCGCCAAAATGGTTCACAGTTGGACAAATTTGATAAGGACCTGGGTAGAGAACAGGAAACTGTCCGGCCAGGACGAAATAAAGGTAAGTTATTTTAGCACAATGAGCACAAAGGAACAAGGTCAATAAGAATGCGAGCACGATGTATGCATGATTTTTTAGTGCAAAGTTGGCATACAGCACTGTGCGACCACAGTACGTATGCATCGATGGAACGTAAAATTTATGTTTTTCCCATCTTTCACATTATAGACAGGAATATGGCATGACATAGAACTCGTATTGCATGAGTTTGTGGAATTTATACAGCGGCACGAGCACGAGCACGCATGGACTATCGCATGTGATGCCTCGCCAGACGGTGAAGCGCAAGAGGTATCCTTGGATAGCACGGAGAAAGGAATGTGCAGACTCATGCTGCTCGCGCTATATTTCAAAAATGGTTGGGAAGACGGTACAGGACACACAGAGAGGGCTTGGGCTGCGGACAACGAGTTCAAAAAGTTTATAAGGTGTGTAATAGTGAATATTTATATGTACATGCTACTAGAGGCGACCTGTCAGAACAGGAAAGGTGTAAAGTATGCATTATATGTAATGGGTCAGATGGAGGAAAGTATGAAAGATTCGGGGGTGGAAATGAATATATGTAAGTGGCAGGACCATAAGGGTACTGGAATTGGAGGAGTGAAGGTGCATGATGCAATTATGCATTGGTTCGAGGAGAATGAACAAATGATGGAGAAAATACGAGAAATAGAAGACAGCGCACAATGCAGAGCCGGAAGTAAAGACCACAAGCAAATTAATAAGGAAGAAGATGTGCAAAAGTTAAAGGAAGGAATTAAGGAAAAATTGGGAGCACTGGAGAAAGAAGTTACACAACAGAGGCTGGAAGAGGAGAAGAAAATAGCAGGGCGATCGGCAGCAAAGCCCTCCGATGCACAGTCGACAACCGACCAAAAACCCGCCAAGGATCCTGAAGCACCGGCAACACCATCAACGGACACGTCAGGTAAGGACCGATGGCAGAAAGCACGAATACGGCCGCTACGAATACTACGCACGCGTCCCGCATGTACACCGCATGGATGCCGCCACACCACAACAACACGCACACGCGGGGGAACAACAACGCAACGGCCACAACATGCACGCGGCGACAACAACGCACGGGGGAACAACCACGCACACGCAGGCGCAACAGCGAACAGCACACATCGCTTCCCCGTCGCTGCCCCACGTCGCTGCCGCACTTCGTGCAGCACTTCGGTTGAGCGGCCAGGACGGCGGCCACGACGGTAGCGGTAGCGACGCCGCGCCGTGTAGACGAGTGTGGAGCGTACCGTGCAGCGCAGACGACTGTGTACACGAGGTGTGTGCAGTGACGGCGGCCACGACGGCACCGGTAGCGGCAGCGGCGACAACCATGAGTGGACAGTGCACTGTACGAAGTTATAGAATACATAGAACGTGGATTTATGCATATGAGACACACGACAGCGTAATTTAGGAGACAGTGTAAGTTAGAAAAGGCGAGGGAGTAATGTAGAAAAAGGGGTAACAAGGTACAAATCGGCAGGAAAGCTTGTGGCGGCCGTGTCGAGTTGCAGGTATCAAGTTCGTCTAGTTGGTTACTGACACGTGCGAAATTTTCCAATATACCACTAAAGACCATAGTGTACTATAGAGGGAAAGGCATAAATGAAGGATGCAATTCGCCCCTTCCAAGGCAATTAGCATATTCTACAGAGGCAC